GTCGCGAACCATTTCAACTCCCCCTCCCATTCCTCAGACGACATGTCCATCCTGGGCCTCCTGCAGTGCCACAACGATGCCACCCGAAGGTTGCAGGAACAGCAACTCATATTCCGCTTGGGAACCCTGCAGCCCAATGGTATCAATGTGGATTTCACAAGCTTCAAAATCTCCCCTCCCCCTACCGCATCCCAAAACCAGCCCAGCTCGTCCCCGCCTCCCTAACCTGTTCTTCCTCCCACCTATCCCCTCCTCCCACCTCAAGCCGCACCCCCATCTCCTACCGACTAACCTCATCCCGCCCCCTTGACCTGTCCGTCCTCCCTGGACTGACCTATCCCCTCCCTAACTCCCCACCTACACTCACCTTTACTGGCCCCATCCCCGCCTCTTCGACCTGTTTGTTTCCTCTCCACCTATCCTCTCCTCTATCCATCTTCTATCCGCCTCCCACTCTCTCCCTATTTATTTCAGAACCCCCTTCCCCTCCCCCTTTTCTGATGAAGGGTCTAGGCCCGAAACGTCAGCCTCTCTGCTCCTATGATGCTGCTTGGCCTGCTGTGTTCATCCAGCCCTGCACCTTGTTGTCTCGGATTCTCCAGCATCTGCAGTTCCTACTATCTCTACTCTTCCAGTAGTTTCCTTTCATAGGATGACAAGCATTAACTTTATCTTCCCAGGCACATTTTGTCAGACTCATTATGTACTTTCTGAGCTGCCTCAAGTGCAACCACATCATCTCCAAATTTATCACTTTGTTTTAACTTCCTAAGTCCAGGTTACTCATAAAGAAATAGTGCTGCTTGCAACACCAAGCATAGGATATTCCACTCAATTCTTTACCCACTCTGCCACAATTCTCACAAGTGTTGCATTATTTTCTATCCTTCAGTTAGCTTATTATATTTTCCAAGTTTACCTTAAAACCCTAAAACTTCCAGTTTAACAAATAACCGCTCATGTGAAAAATTGTCAGAATATTCTCGATGCTAAGGTACATCATGTTGTAGGGCTCTCCCAAAATACTTGAGTTATCACTTTCACAGAAGTCCAAGGAGTTGATCTGGTTACTGTTCAATATATAATTGGCGTATACAATATACTCAAGCTTACTTCCAATTGATTATATTATTTTACTTGGAATAAAAATACTACTAATTTGACTGTACCTAAGTGGCAACTGAGCCACTTACTTTGGGGCATTATTTTTGCTCATCTTCAATCTATGAGAATCTCTCCAGAAACCACTGGCTTCCTCATAAGAAATGCCTCAAAAAATCTTCCCTCATTTCTCTTGCTCTGAGATGAACGCAATATATACATATATTTCAGGATTTCTACGTTTCAAGCACATTCACATCTCCTACATCTCATACAGTGGTCACTGATTACAGTTGGTATATTTTTATCAGCCACTGAGCACATTAACCAATTTTCCCATGAAAAGACACATTTTACCTTGAAAAATGTGCATTAATTTTCACACAGATTTCACCATTAAGTTATTGGTTGATATTTTGCTCCTGCCTGTGTAGCATCAAGAGATGATTTTCAGTATTAACGGCAAACATGCAAAAGCAAAATACTGCAGATATTAGAAATATAGAAAGTTCTGGATAACATTCAGGGCAGTCAGGCAGCATATAGGGATAAAGAGTCAGCAGCTTCAAGATTATGGCTCTTCAGTCATAACAATAGCTATTTGTAGTTATTATTATGTTGGCTATGAAACAAGATCAATATGTCTGGAAAAGAACATGTTCATAATTCTCACAGAACCAGAGAAGGTGTTGTAACGGTGAAGTCACTGGAATCGTAATCCAGAACACCAGACAAAAGTTCTAGGGCAAGGGTTTGAATCCCACCAGGGTCGATGGTAAAATTTGAATTCAACAACAAAAAGAAAACTGGAATAAAAAGCCAATTGAGCGGTGATCATATAAATCCTATTGATTGCTGAGAAGGTCCATCTTGGTTCAGTAATTCTTACCTTGTTTGACCTACATGTGACTCCAGACCCACACTGATGTGGTTAGATGCTGCTGCCGAGCAGGCGGCCTTACACCCCGTACTTCTGGTTCCATTGGATTCCCAGCAAAACCTGGTTAGAAACAGTATAGGGACGAGTATGCCAGACCTGGGTGAGATACAGAAATTACACGGGGACGCCCCTGCTGAGGAGCACAAACTCAAATGGGGTGCTACCTCGACCCTCAAACTAAGCTATGGGTGACCCCTGCGGGACAAGTTTGTGTTCCTTCTTTGCTCCTACCAATCTTAGTTGATTATGTGCATAATTGTACACACTTGGGCAAGGAGGGAATGGTTAATACTTTATTACAAACCTGGTGGCACCCGGATTTCCAGAAAGCAGCTGAGAAACGAGCTAAAGCATGCTTAATTTGTAAAAAGATGAATGCTGGAAGAGGGATGCCCTGTGGTTCTGGAATCACCCCCTTGCTCGGTGGGCCTTTTGCTTGTCCACAACTTGATTTTAGAGAACTACCTAGAGTACATTGTTATAAGTATTGTTTAGTAATAGTAGATGTATTTAGTAGATGGATTGAAGCCATCCCAACGACTGACAATACTGCTACAACAGTGGTAAAAATATTGTTGAGGGAAATAATTCCCCGTTATAGACTTTCAGAAATGATAAGCTTGGACAATGGACCACACTTTGTAGCTAGAGTTAACGAGGAGATCTGCAAAGAGCTGGCTATAAAGCAACAGTTCCACTGCACTCGCCATCCAAAGGCAGCCGGGATAGTGGAACAAGCAAACGGCACTCTAAAGAATAAGTTGGCCAAGTTAACACAGGAGACAGGACTGAACCGGTTGAAGGTTCTACCTTTGGCGCTATTCCATATGAGAGTTACCCCCTCAGGTAAAACAGGGTTATCTCCCGCTGAGATTGTCTATGGGAAGCCCATGCGGACCCCATGGGGACTTGGGGTAGTCCGACCTCCCCTTCCTGAAAAATTGGATATGCACACTCTGGGGGAGGAAATGGGAAAATACCTGCATAAGTTAACCAAAACTCTCCAAAGTTTACATTCACAGGTACGCCAAGTCTATCGAGAGGATGACAATCTGTCTGAAGGAGACTACCCTACTGTAGGCCCTGGAGATTTTGTCCTGATTAAGAACTGGGACCGGGGAAAGTTGGAACCAAGGTGGAAAGGACCATATCAGGTGTTGCTGACCACCCCTACGGCTGTGAAAGTGCAAGGACAACCCCGCTGGATTCATACAACCGACTGTAAATGAGTCAGTGAAGGAACAGAGAAGGATTAAGGGAGAACAGCTGCAACCTTCAGCTTGTTGCAAACACAGGCACACATTCCAAAATTTATGGTACATCGTTATTTCAGCAAAACTTCTAGCTATTGCTTCCCCAGTACTTTATCAATGGTCAGAATTTGACAGTCAGGAGTTGATCTATCATATTGATGGACTGGGAGGAAGTTGAGTAGTTTTTTTCACTAGAAGGTGACAGGGGTCTGGAACTCGCAGCATGAAAGTTTAGCAGGAATCCTCATTGCATTTAAAATATACTTGAAACTGCCACAATTAACAGGGCTATGGACCCATTTTGTTTCGATGAAATCGCAGGGTTGTTATGGTGCATGTCTGCTCTGGTTCAACTACCTCATGCCAATATAATCCCCATACCCCTATTGACCATTTTAATCCAAATGAGTTCAAAAAGTTGGAGATCGAGGGAGCTGCAGATACTGTCAGCAATGGTATCCCAGAGCTGATGAGCTGAATGGTCTCCCTCTGTGCAGATGGCTCTCCTCCTCACCCACCTGCCTCCCATGGCAGTTGGGAAGGTGCGCTTACATTTTGTTTTGACTTGGAGTCATATAGCATGGAAACAGACCCTTCTGTCCAACTAGTCCAAGCTAATCATAATCCCAAACCAAACTAGTCCCACCTGCCTGTGCTTGGCCCACATCCCTCCAAACATTTCTTATTCATGTACTTATCCAAATGTCTTTTAAACATTGTGACTGTATCCACATTCACCACTTTCTCTAGAAATTCATTCCACACATGAACCACGCTGTGCAAAAAACATTGCCCCTCATGTCTTTTTTAAATCTTCCACCTCTCACCTTGAAAATATACCCCCTAGTCTTAAAATCCTCAATCCTAGGGAAAAGACACTTTATCAATACACTTCATGACTTTGTAAACTTCTATAAGGTCACCACTCAACTTCCTATGCTCCAGTGAAAAAAGTCCCAGCCTATCCATCCTCTCCTTATAACTTAAACCCTCCATTCCCGGCAACATCCTGAAAGATTGCTTCTGAACCATCTCCAGCTTTCTAATATCCTTCCTATAACAGGGAGATCAGAACTGGACACAGTACTCCAGAAGAGGCCTCACCAACATCCTGTACAAACAACATCAACATGACATCCCAACTCCTATGCTCAAACGTCTGAGCAATGAATGCAAGTTTGCTCAACTCTGCTTAACTCTGATTTCTCTTCACAGATGCTGCCAGACCTGCTGAGCTTTTCCAGCAACTTCTGTTTTCGTACATGATTCTTTTCTATTCTTGACTAGATCCTCAATATCATTATCACTATATCTAATCCTACCAGCCTTACCTTTCACTCTAACAGGAACACAATGACTCTTAACTCTCATAATCACACACTTGAAAGCCTCCCACTTGTCAGATGTACCTTTATCTGCAAACAGTCTACTCCAAACAACTTTTGAAATTTCTTGTCTCATACTGTTAAAATTTGCCTTACGCTAATTAGGAACTTCTAACTTTTACGGGAGGCTTATCCTTTTCCATAACTATTTTAAAACAAATAGAATTGTGATCATTGGAACCAAAGTGTTTCCCCTACCATCACTTCAGAAGGTAAAGTTTTGCTCCTTCTCTAGTAGGACTATTTAGATATTGATACAGAAAAAAATTCTTGAACACTTTTTAAAAATTCTTCACCATCCAAACCTGTAACATTATGGTAATCTCAATGTTTAGAAAATTAAAATCATCTACTATTACCACATTATCATTCTTACATACATGTGAGATCTCTCTACATGTTTGTTCCTTGGTTCTTCCAGCGGTCCGGACGGATCGGAAGAGAACCTGTTTGTACCAGGTCTATGTTAGATTTGACGGTAACGATAAGGAATGTAGAAGCTGACAGATGAAGATCGACAATTGGAAGCAAGTACGACCGTTAACGGTAGCCGCGCACGTCATGTACAGTCAACGCAGGCGCGTTGCCGGGCACGGTTCGACACATGCGCAGTTTCGAGCGAGTCCCGCCCAGGCCGACAGCCAGGGACGGTTCAACACATGCGCAATTTCGAGCGAGTCCTGGAGTCAGCGCAGGCCGACTGCCGGGGACGGTTCGACACGTGCACAATTTTCGACCGTGTCGTAGAGACAGCACATGCGCAATTTCGACAGTGGCGCAGAGGCTCGGCGGACGTGGCGTGGTTCCAGCTTTCTCGCTGCAGTCCCAGTTCAGAGGCCACAAGATCAACATATATCTGGCTCGTTAGCAACTCCTTTGTCTGTCCAACTGTCTTTCTCTCTCTTTGGGCTCTATCCTATCGTTTACTCCATACCCCACCCACCTTCCTATTTTCTGCATATAAACTGACGTTTTCCCAGCCACCATGAGTTCTGAGGAAGGGTCACCGGACCCGAAACGTTAACTCTGTTTTCTCCTTCACAGATGCTGCCAGACCTGCTGAGCTTTTCCAGCAACTTTGTTTTTGTTTTATCTGGCTCGGCCCTTTCGACACTTTCCCTCAAGTCATTTGAGAGGTGTTCGGCGAAATGCCACCCGTTTTTCGGTGACGTGACCGTCGCAAGGACGTTCATCACACCGGTGGATGCAATTCACATCTCACTCTTGTGAAATGCAATTGTTTAAACTTAACCTCTGTCATTGGGGACGATGCTGTTTGTCCAACAAATGATACAGCCCCTGATGGTCATACTAGTGTACAAAAACAAAGTTGCTGGAAAAGCTCAGCAGGTCTGGCAGCATCTGTGAAGAGAAGACAGAGTTAACGTTTCGGGTCCGGTGACCCTTCCTCAGAAGTTGAGCAAACTTGGGACCCGAAACGTTAACTCTATTTTCTCCTGCACAGATGCTGCCAGACCTGAGGTTTTCCAGCAATCTTGTTTTTGTTCCTGATTTACAGCATCCACAGTTCTTTTGGTTTTTATTGGTCGTACTAGTGTGTACGATTCTGACTACCCCAAGATTTACCTCTGCACCATCTCACACACACCACTCACTCCACTGTTGCCAAATAACTTGTTATAAGGGTCTAAGCCCAAAACATCAGCTTTCCTGCTCCTCGGCCTGCTGTGTTCATCCAGTTCTACACCTTATTATCTCTGATTCTCCAGCATCTGCAGTTCCTACTATCTGTTATATAACATTTTCAGTTCTCCAAAATCCTCTCTCCCTCGCAGCAGTTTCCACTGTCTAGGAAATACTTGTGCTGATCTAATTCTGGCCTCTTGAGCAGCCCTAGTTTTAATCCCTCTATAATCAGTGACTACACAATGTTTTTGAGAAGATTTGTGTCTCAGGTTGTGGATAACGTTGTAGATTTGCTCGCCAAGCCCGTGTTTTGTGACTGGGCTTTCAGTCGCCCCAGTCCTGGTACTTTGGCATTCTTGTCTGCATTTCCCACTCTCTTTGAAATCTGTTGCTTTGACCAAGCTTTTGCTGATTTGAACTGATATGTGGTAGCTCACTGTCTATACTGTTTTATATTGCTTTTAATGTAACATTTCACACAGAAATTGAGCATTACAACTTTTTCCACACAGGGTGGTGGTTGTATAGAATGAGCTGTCACAGGAAGTGGCAGAGACTGATGGGTATGCTTTTTAAATGTAATCCTATCTAGATATGAATAGGAAAGATTTAGAGGGATAGGGACCAAATGCTGTACATCTGACTCGAAATAGAAAAACAAGCTGTAATGATGTTTATATTTGGACTACCAAGTGTCTTCCACACATCCTCACCAAAAACCAAAATACAAGATCAAATGTGAAGATGAAATATGAAATTTGCATAATATCTGGAATAGACAGATTTTATTAAATTGTGCCACTTTATAAGATCGAAGTAGGAATTTGTTTTCATTTATAAACTGGGAAAAGGCTCAACAAAAATATGAAGTGGGGAAAGCAGTTTGTTTAGAGAGAGCCAACGGCATAGTGATATTATTACTAGACTCTGAATCCAGACAATCAAGTAATGTTCTGGGGACCCAGGTACAAATCCTGCCATGACAGATGATAGAATTTGAAGTCAATAAAAATCTGGAATTAAGATGATCATTGATTGTCGATAACGTTGATTATCAGAAAAACTCATTTGGTTCACTAATGTCCTTTACGGGAGGAAACTGCCATCCTTATCTGGACTGGACCTCATGTGACTCCAGAACCACAGCAATGTGGTGAAGTCTTCCCTCTGGGATGGGCAATGCTCTAATCTCATCAATGAATAAAAAAAGTGCCTAATGTTTTACAGCTACATGGAGATATATATATATGGCTGCATCTTCTGACAACTTAAACTATCACCAGTAAAACAAAGTGAAAAGCTGGAGGAACACCGCAGGCCAGACAGCATCATAGGAACAGGAAAGCTGACATTTCGGGTCAGGACCCTTCTTCAGCATCTGCAGTTCTTGCTATCTCACCAGTAAAACAAGCCTTTTTAGACATTCAATGCATTCATTCAATTAAACAAGCAAACCTGCTGCAGTAGCAGCTTCAGCATCAGCTTATGTCATTTAAGACTCAAAAATGAAAAACAAGTTTTGTTGCAATTCCATCCCATATTTAGTTTCCACAACAACCATTGAAAGAATCACAGCATTACTGTTAATGTTAAATTTAAAATGTTACATAGTTTTACATGATACATGTAGATTATCAGGTCTACTCTTCAACATCAGAAATGGTTTTAGTGGTTCTGTCTTGCTTAAAATATTGTTTCTGAAGAAAGAAATTCACAAAATGGCAGCATCTTTGCAACATTAAGTAGTTCTATTTAATTGTTTCTTAGTCACTCATGTAGCAATGATTTCTCCTTTATTGACAATATAAACCTATTACCTGCAGGACCTGAAATTTTAAATTTATGTTCATAAGTTACCGAGAAAGGGACTTTCACAAATATAGGACCTTGCACAACAGCAATACCCCACCATGCTTTAAAACTAAAGAATCGCTTGAAGACAGGTCACTGTTATAAAAGTAATTGTGGCAGCAAAGCTGCACACAACAAATGCCCAAAAACATCAATGAAATGAAATGAAATGATATGATAATGTTTTAGGTGTTGGTTAAAGGATAATTGTTGGCCGATAAATTTGGAAAAGTGGATAAACTTTACACATTAATGTCATGGAGAAAAGTCCAGATTCAAAGTAATAACACAGCAGGTCCTGAAACAGTGCTGGGCCACACTATTCAGGGCTAATTACACAGATCAAGAAGTCTCAAATTATAAAAATACATTCTTCTACAGTCACCTTAAAGACTGAAATAGGGTACCATTTACACGAAAATTACTCCATATCTTTGCCATAAATCTTTTACATTATTTTAATGGATTATTTATGTAGTTAAGAAACCCTTATATTCTGAAAATTGTATCCTTGTAAAGTAGAAACTGACTACACAATAGTGCTTGGATTCTTTTCAAAATTTATTCTGCAAAAAAAAACAGTAGATACATTATTATACACTTGATGGACAATACAAAATGTACATTGTACATTTAACATAAATAAGATTTAACCAAAGCATCAAAAAAATTACATTTCCTACAGACAAATTGCACTGTTTACTCAAGTACATATCCAGTAGCAAAAATTAGGAAAAAGTATTTACATTATGTACAGTCACTCTTAAATTACTCCAATTCATTAAATCTTGTAAACATAGCTTTTTTAACAGCATCTTTGTAGGAATCTGAAGTAGTAACGCCATACGAACTTCCTCGTGCTCCCAAACCAGCGCCTTTCATCCTTGTTTGAGCCTGAAATCAAAATCCAATTGAATTGAATGCTGTAGAAAACATGTAATTTCAAAAATGTTCAAATATTCCCCATTCCTACCAAACAAAACAAGGATACAAGTTCCAAGCTTGGAAATAGTAAAGACTGCAGATGCTGGAAGCTAGAGTTAATAAATGTTGAGCTGGAAAAGCACAGCAGGTCAGACAGCAATTCGAGCAGAGAAATCAACATTTCGGGCCGAAACCCTTCATTGTGACAAAGGGTTTTGGCCCAAAAGATGGACTTCCCTGCTCCTCGGATGTGGTCTGACCTGCTGTGCTTTTCCAGCTCCACATTTACTGATACAAGTTCCATGCACTTCAACCGTTATGGAATCAGATCTTGGGTTCATTCACACATGAACAATTACTTAGGAGAAGCAGAACTACAGCCTCTCACAACTTCCTAACTACAAAGATAGAATATTTCCATATTGAAAGATTGGCAGCTAACTCTGGTCAAGATTCCTCACCTTATATCAGACTATATTTTGACGATCATTTATGCATGCATCACAAATGAATTTAAACAAACATCCATCTTGCAGAATCCACCCTCATTGTAAACCTAATTAAATTAGTACAGGTCTGCCAGTTCAAAAATTAAATTGAACAAGAAGATCTGAATGATTTGTAGATATTTTGAAAAAAGTTTGCTAAAATTTTAATTGGTTTATCATTCCTTACCACCCCAGCTCCAATCTTGGAAGATTGTGTTTGAAAGACAAATTCAAAACATCTTAGGACATTCAAATTATTAGCCCCCTTGTCGCTGAAAATGCTGCTTTTAATCAGCAGCCATACAGAATATCAGAGTAATCTAACCCAGCATATTCCCTATGCAAGTATAGTTAGCCTCCATGAACCCACTCTCCTCAATAAGGATACAAAGCAGAACCATTTTATTAAGTAGCATATTTTATGGCCCAAGTTTATTTGGATGCAAGAGAAACCATAAGCAGATATTACGACATCAGCTATCAGAAATAAGCAGGCTCAGATAATAATCACATGTTGAATGCCTTACCATACACCAGTAAAAATAAAAATGACCTAATTGTAGGTAGGGAACTCTAAATCTTATTTTCGAATATCATCCCACCCCTATTCCTTTCTCATTGGTGGTGGTGGTGGTTAATTAGGTAGTTTTACAAGTAATATACCAGTTTTCTGCTGGCTGTGAACAGCAAGTACCCAGTGACTCAACAGCGTAAGCATCACAAGTGGCTCCTAATCTATTCCTTCAAATCAGATAGTATTCCAAAATATCACCCTGGCCATGACTAACGAATGCAGAGTGAAAATTACAATGTGGCAGACTTCAATTTCTTAAAAAAGGTAATGTATTAATCAAGAAAACAACAAAAAACATTTATTGACACCAAGGTATTAACTTTGTGAATCAAACAATCTCTCATATTAAATGGTATTTGCATCAAATGACCATAGATGAAAAAATAGAAAATATAAAGTACCATACCTGTATAGGTGCTGTAATACCTTGCTGATTTCGACCCAGCCCCGAGCCTTCTTTCCAACCCATAGCCTGTAGCATTCTGCTCCCAATGTTATCACTGTTAATACCATTCTTTGTCGGTTGCTCAAAATCACTGTTGTAACAAAAACATATTTTAGTTTTTGATCTTCATAAGCAGAGAACTCAAATGATAGATTTCAGAAAATGAGTTCAGTTTGTCCTTTTGAAAATGTTAGTCATGTAACAGGATTTCCACTCCAATCATCTTTAACCCTTTTCAGGAAAAGTTATTTAATACGGAAGCAATTCACCATAATACCTGCTAAATACTTCAAGCAAGTCCTGAGAATTCTGAAGCAATAATCAACTGCACCATAACCTAGTCTGGTGTGGTGTTAACCCAATACTAGTCACATAAAACTAAGATTTTTTTGAAATAATAATTGAAAAAGGCAATTTCAGTAAAACATACAAATCTTTTTACAGGGTGTGACAGGTAGATGTACTTGCTCCCTCTGGCTGCTGTGTCTAGACCAAAGGATATTGTCTCAGAATAAGGGATATGCCATTTATGACTACATAGAAGGAATTTCCACAGAGAGTGGGGAGTCTTATAATTCTCTATCCTACAGGGCTATAGAACCTCAATAATTGAGCAAATTGACAGAACTGGGTCGCTTTCTGATCAACAATGGTACCAAGAGATAGGAGGCGGCATTAAGGTAGGCAGTCAGGCATTATCTAATTGAAAGAAGCTGGACTGACAGGCTAAACGGCCTAATTCTATGTTCCAGGAACACAAGAAATAAGAATAAGCCACAACACCCCTTGAGCTTGCTCTGCTATTTAAGAAACTCCACGGTCGATTCCCAACTTGATCACTAGTTTCTCGCTCAATCTCCATATCTCTTGATTTGTTAGAATCCAAAAACATATTGATTGTTGCTTTAAATATACCCATTGAACATGCACAACTCCTGGTATCGAGGATTCAGTGATTCACATTCCGCTCCAAGTGGGAACATTTCTCAACTCAATCATCATGGCTTACTTCTTAAGCAGAGGCCATACCCCCTAGTTCTAGGCTCCAAAACCACAATAAGAACACAAGTCAAAAGCAACCTTGTTAAAAGCAACTGCTAGTGTGAAACAAGAACCAAACATCTTCAAAAAAAAAAAGCTGAAAAGTGGCAATGGATAAATAGGAAGTATAGGTTCAGACTTATTACCAAAACCACAGGAATCAAGCTATTTGTTTTACAGATATTTGATCATTGAGCGCACCCCGTTTCCCCCCCCCCCAATAAAGATGATCAATGCTCTGGTTGCGACAATAGTGAGAATTACATTCATTAAGTTAAAAATTTAAAAGTGCACTTGGCTTCAGCAATACAATCTGGAGAAATCCACAGTCATGAATTTGGTTATGAAGAAAAGTACAAGAATCTGGAACACAGTAGGCCACACAGCCCTTCGAGCCTGCTCCGTACTCAATAAGATCATGGCTGATCTGATTTTAATCTCAACTCTTAGACAGCTAAACTATCAAATGCCGTCTGGAAATCTAAATGCAATACACCCTTTGGCTCTCCTGTATCTAAAGCACAAGTTCTTTGAAGAAGGAACTCTAATAAATTACTTAAACATGTAGACAAAACTATGTTGGTTCTGATTACTTCGAATTCATTATTCAAGTGCCTTTCTATAAGATTTTAACAATAGCTCCTAACATTTTTCCTACAACAGATGTTAAGCTAATTGGTTTGTGGTTTCTTGCTTTCTGTCTCCCTTCCTTTTTGAAGAAAGGAATCACTTTAGCTATTTTTCAATATTAAGGATCCTGTCCCAAATCTAATATGTTTTGGAAAATTAAATCATCCGCATAAACTATCTCACTAGCTATTTCTTTTAACACCCCAGTTTGAATTTCATCAGGATCAACTTACTTAACTCTGGAAACTTTAAAAAAAAATCTTAATAAACGTTTCCTGTTTTTATATTTCTGGTTAACTTTCTCTCACTCATTACTAATCTTATCAGTAATTTTATTTGCTGTTTTGGATATTCTGTCCAATCTTCCAACCTGCCACCTATCTTTGCACCATTATATGACTTTTGAGACAACAAAACTGCAGATGCTGGAATCCAAGGTAAACATCTTATCTTCCGTCTGGGCACCCTACAGCCCAGAGGACTCAATGCTGAGTTCTCCAATTTCAGATACCCTTTCCACTCATCACCCGGTTCCCTTTCCAGTTCCACCCTATCCTTTCTATTCCACCTTCTGACCCTCCTTTCCAGCCACCAACCAGATTCATCTCTCCCATCGACCAACCAGGTCATACCTCCTATCAGTGCCCACTCATCGCCACCATTTCACTACCCACCTCCCCTTTATCTGCAGCTCCCCCTACCTCCCACATCCAGTCCTGAAGAAAGGTAACACCCAAAACGCTGGCTTCTCCTTTCCTCCAGATGCTGCCTGGCTTGCTGTGTTCTTACAGCCTCCTGTTTTCTCTATATGTCTTTTCAGTTTGATACTTTTGAGGCTTTTTGTTTACCATGGATGGTGGGTCCATCCCTTAGAAACCTGCTTATCTACAATCTTATGTTATTTGCTCTTGCAGAATAAATTACTGCAGATGCTGGAATTTGTACTGAAAACAAAAAATGCTGGAGATCACAGCAGGTCAGGCAGCATCCATGGAGAGAATGCAAGCCTGTATCTGTGCCTTCTGGAATATCCCCATAAATATTTGGCATTGCATCTCTATTGACCTATCCCTTAACCTAAATTGCCAGTTCATTTTTGCCAGCTCTGCTTTCATGTCCTTAGAAATGACCTTGTTTTCCTTCAAGGTGTAGCCTAAATTAAATATGAGGTTTTAGCCCATTTATTTTTGAAATAAAGCATACTTCTGATAAATCAACTATTTTAGCATTAAAGGATGCAAATTATCCAGTTACTCAAATCAGACAACAGGAACAAAACAATGCATTTGCTTAAAAAAAGTCAGATTATCTTGTAATTCTAATTCAGGTAACTAATAAAGGACATAGATAGGGTGAATAGCCCAGCTGTTTCCCCCAGGGTAGGGAAGTCCAAAACTAAAGGGTTTAGATTTAAGAGGGACCTAAGAGGAACTTCTTCACGCAGAAGGTAGTGAGTATATGGAATGAGCTGCCAGAGGTGGTGGTGGAAGCTGTTACAATTACAACATTTATAAGGCATCTGGACGGGTATATGATTATGAGGGATTTAGAGGGATATGGGCCAAATGGGATTAGATTTATTTAGGAAATCTGGTCAGCATGGACAAGTTGGACTGAAGGGTCTGTTTTCGTCTGTACAGCTCAATGACTCTCAAGTTATCAAAGGACATTAATGTGGATTTCACTTCTGACCATTTTTGCAAATCAATTAGTGGCTGCATGTAGTTTTCTATTCACTTCTTCCCTGCTGCATTTTTCATCACACCACATAAAATACTTCCTTCAATATTTTAATTGGCTGCCTGGTTATACAGTTCGAAAAAATTCAATTCACAAAAGAGGAACTGATATTAGCAACTCAATTAAAATTCCTATGCAGAAAACTTTTCTAAAATATAACAGCTAGAAATAATTGGAGAAAGCATAGTTCAGACTCAAATTAAGTTCTAGCTTTGATCAGGATTTATTAGTTATTTTAAATTGATTAGACAAGTCTGAAAATAATGACAAAAACTTACATTATTGCAGCATTATTAAACCTCTTTCTCTTCGGTTCTGGAGGCTCTGGGATTCCATACTTTTCTCTTCTTTCTGCTGCTCTGTCTCTGTACTTCATCTGAGGCGGGGTAGGGGAGGTAGTGATTAAAGAACTGTTATGGTAGGAACTCATTTAAGTAAAATCTTAAAAAATAAGTTAATACAAATATCGTTAAAGTCCCCAAGTCATTAATTTGCAATTGCTTCAAATTACAAGTGTTCGATCCAGTTATTGCAAATAATTGCATTTATACAGCAGCTTCAAAATAGCAAATCATCCCAAAGCATTTTATAGAAATATTAACCAATGAGATTGCCAGATATACTGCAACTAATTGGTCCGAGGGGCAGGTTTTAACAAGGGCCTAAATCAACAGGGAATCAGAAACAATCCCCGAGCTTCTGGTCTCGGCATGACCATCAATGGAAACTAAGGCGGGCAAGCGATCAGAATTGTACAAGGTGAGCCTTGTACAGTTAGACAGGTTATAGAAATCAGGAGGGACAACAGCACGAGTGATTTCACAAAGTCGAGAATTTCAAATCATAGTGGTCCTAGCCAACTCTGGTCACCACATACAAATCAGCAACATGTCACTTGGTGGGTCTTTGGGAACTGACTACAGATTTTGGGATGAAGATTGTCAATGATGGAGAATGAAACACCAGACAATAGATCATCAGAATATCCAAGTTCATCCAGGTGTAACAACGGCACAGAATCACACAGGTCAAAATGTGAAGGAGGAAGTAGGTCATATTGATAATAGAAGCTCAGCTCAAAGTGAAACATGACAGAGAATGCAAAGAATATTGGTTTAGCCTCAGAAAATAGAAAGGGAGGTCTGTAGCTGAAGAATGAAGTATGTTTCAGAGACCAAATTGCCAATGGCTCTGGTTCACCGAATTTGATCAGACAATATTTCTCTCTCATCCAATAGCAGATGAGAAAAGTAACATAAATCAGAGGGAATGGAGTAGAGAAACATGGTGGTGTTGTCAGCAGACATATGAAATCTGATGTATTATTGGGTACTGTTCACAGAAAGGTGACATGTAGAAGAGAAACTGGAGGCAGCTGCATCACTTGTCATAGCTCTTTGCTTTTGTCGTTTTGATTACAAGAGAACGTACTTCATTTTCTGTTTTTTCTAATGCCTCAAGCTCTCGGTCAGACATTCGCGACCTTCTACGAATTTCCAAATTTTGCTGCAAATGCGAAGAGACAAGATATTTAATAATTGACTCCAAATAATGATGATACTACGATATTTGCTTGAAGTAAACAGTTTGAACTTGAAGGAAAGCAATGTAAATTTACTGAACTTAAAATTAGCTGCAGTGTACATGCAAGAACAAGGCATTCTATCAGTGCATGGTATTTTGTGCAGTTTCAAGTTTATGGATTTGTACAGTTGTAAAAATTGTACAAATTTTTTAAAACAGGCAACTTATGGTAGTACTTTCCTTCCCATAACTATCTGTGAAAAACATAGTAGATTTCCTTTATTCTTCGGTCTCAGATTCATTTCCAATGCATCTTTCGGGTACAAGTCAGAGTGGTGCATGGTTTCTCATCATGGACCAAAAGATCACAGACTAAGTCTCAAATAAAATTATGTCACAGACTCAATATTAAGGTGGAACAATGTAGACTTGGAATCAACAAATGATGAGATGAGAATTCAGACAACTGAATTCATACTGTTTTACATTTATAGAATGCACACATTGTATATGATTTTACAAAGATCGTTAGCTTTGCTCTTATTACCCTGTGGAGGTCGGAGAGTTGCTGATGCCGAGTAAGTGCCTCTTTATTGGGAAACTGTCTTCTGCACAGCAGACAGGCTATTTTGTTCCAATCTGTCAGCTTTTCTTCCAGTTCTTGGACTGTCTCTTGCTCCTCTTCTTCACTTTCTCCACTGTATGATGCTACAAGGCCCTGTAGTGGACTGGACTTTCTCTATAAGATGGATACCAAGTTTCAGTCTGATACATGCATCTTTTAAGCCAACTGTCCACATTTTAATTATTCAGTGAATAGTGAAATCTCAAAAGATACTTCAGCACCCCAAATGATACATTATTAGTAGCATGGAAGTACACCAGAAATGGAAAACAAGAACAGAACATCACAAAAGTAATTTAATTTATATCAGGAAAGGAAATATGAACAATGAAAGAAACACTGTGGTTCTGAATGAAGTCTTTAACCAGCAAAATTCCAGTCAATTCCACTGCATATTAAACCTTGATATAACAAAAACAGCTCGAGTTCATTGAAAATTTCCAACTGCATAAACCAGGATGATCGATATTCATTCTTAAGGTTTGTACACTCTTCAGAATCTCATTTATAAATTTGTGTATATTACAAGCTACATTTCACAAAATGACAGCAGCACACTAGTGGTTAAAGGAAACATAACACTCAAATAAAAGCTACAATATGGCACAAGTGGCAAGAAGCAGTTCTGAAGAACAGTCAGATTGGATTCAAAACAGTGACTCTTTCTCTCGCCACAGATTTCCCAAGTTTCTCCAGCACTTTTTATTTTATAAAAGAAATACAAAAATCTTTCAGGAAACAAAACAAATTGCTGGAAAAGCTAAGCAGGTCTGGCAGCATCTGTGAAGGAAAAAACGGAGTTAACGTTTTGGGTCCGATGACCCTTCCTCTGACACTTCACTTCTATAACTACAACCCAGCTCAAACTCAAATTTCAGCTGGTTTCAAATGGATCCAGAGCAGTGCATGATTGTCCTTCAATACTTGGGTATTACTGGTGTTTCTCCATGACTATCATCACAGAAAGAACAGAAATTGAAGATATTACTCTGCTCCAAAGAAATGCAGCATTTAAAACAACTGACAACAGTCAAGGGCTGCAAAATATTTTAAACCAATCATTACAGCCAGCCTGGAGAAGTGGAAGTTTGAAGGATTAAAAAGAAAAAAACAACATCGAGACTTGAAAGAAACACATTCAAACCTTTAACGGACTTTCATCATCATCCCGTAGATGTTCCACTAAACCACTGAATGGTTCAAGTACCATTGGCTGCCGTTCTATCATCCCCTGTAACAGACATATTGAATGCAAATTTAAGTATTGTACCTTTGAAGAATAATTGAGAGATGAAGACAGTGACAATGGACATTTTAGAACAGAATGTAGCTGTGTAAAAAAGTTTCAAGCTTTTTGCAGCAGGTTCTGCAACAACGAAGTACCTGGCTAACGGACTATAGAGAAATTGTTTACATTTAAGTTCCTGCATTCTTCATAATTTTAAAAGACCTTTATCAGGTCATGTAATATCTTCCATTATTCCAAAGACAGTATCAAAATCAACTTTGCTTTGTATCTCATCAGAATGGGCAGTTTCTTAATCTATGCTCAACTGTATCAACATATTTCCTCAAGTATGGACTCCAAAAGAGTATACAGTATTCATAGAGATTGTACAAAGATTTATATAACTATTATATCTTGCCTTGTCTACGTAAAACAAAGCATTCTATTACCACCTTAGTCTTATCTGAGACACTGTTTACTAAAACAAACCCAAAGTCCTGATGCCTGCGCTTTCACACCTTCCAGCCTCCCCATAAAGGAGAATGGACCAGTTTACTACATTGAATGACAGTTTCACTTATTTGCCTAAATCAACCACCATATCAATATCACCTTGCTGCTTTCTTTAGTACTAGGTATTAGTTGAGTCACATCTAAAATCCACGAATTAGGGATCACCATCTAGATCCATACTCAAGTCACAAAAGCATACAGCAAACAGCAGAGTTAGTCAAAAGAGCGGCATGGGGGTCGCCCTATTGAACACTAACTTTTGACATCCTCTCCCAGTTCTATGATGCTTAATATTATCCTTGTCAGCTTGTCAAAGGCTTTCTGAAAGTTAATTTACACATCCATTCCAATACTCCCACTCACTGTATCCATTAGCTTAAAAGAACTAATCGGGCTTCTTAGCACAACTACTTTTTCTGAAATCAGTGTTATCAGCTACTTCAAATTATTTTCTTTTGCTCAAACAGATAGCATGATTTTACTTTTAAAATCCATGATTGGTAAAATGGTGCCAACATCAAACTAGCTGACCAATAATTATCCAAGCAGTGCTCTTGAAAATGGGTATTACGATAGCAACTCTCTAATATTCCATACATTAAGGCCCCGAATTATAATTTATTGCACTTTCATTATTTCTTAACCCATTTCAGGATATTTATAGATAGCCAGTTAAAAAAAAAAAAATCACAGAACTTTGTGCTCTTTATATTGCAATTTATCTTTATATTTACAACATTTCTGATCTGGTTTTTAACAAATTCAGGATTTACCTCCATAAGAAGTTTCTCTTTTGTAAACACAAAGGAAGTACTGAGGCTTCAGTTTATCCTCTTGACTCCCCTTAGGGGTCTCAACTTGCATTTAATAGTTTTTCTCACAATACATGCAGAAAAGCTCAGCTTTTACTTTGAGATTCTGCCACCATTCCCCTTACCCTTCTTCAGCTCTTTCAATGTCCTCTGTTGGTTAATATCAAAATACTTTAGCACTCAATGTGCAGCATATCCCACAAATTATCCAGGCAATCACCCTGTGAGCAGTTTTGCGTCCCATCCATTGCCAACTTGTAAATTCCACACATACCCTTTTCTCAAACAAAGCAAATCCTGCATCAGCTGCTGCAGATTCTCTCCTCTCTTCTTCTTTAGATGCAATCATCTGCAAAGCAGTTTTGACATTATCCTTCTGTTTATTTAGACTCTTGGCCCATCGTTCCATGTCTTTGGCGATCTACGGGTGAAAAGAAAAAATGTTCATCGATGGCCCACCTTTGATTTCATGTGCCCCCAAACTGAAGAATGGTACAGTCACTGCCCAAGTGGCATGCACCAAATTTCCCACTGAGTTTTAGCATGAAAAAAGATGACAAGGAATTCCCCACAAGAGATAAATAAAGTAACATCATTCTGCTGGTTAGTCTGTCTTCCAGTAGGTGCCAGTAACATTTCCATTAGGTCAGGTGCAGAGGTAGGCCGTTCAGCTCCTCAGCCTACTCTGCCATTCAACAAAATTATGGCTGATCTGATTGTAACCTCAAATTCATGTTCCCGCCTATCTCTAATAGCTCTTCAAACCCTTTGCTTAACAAGAGTATACATCCACCACCCTTTCAAGAAGAGATTTCCAAAGACTCAAGACCCTTAAAACTGTTTTTGTCTCATTCGTTTTACCTCTGATTTTTGAACAGTGATCCCTTTTACTAGATTCTCCCGTAGGAGGAAACATTCTCTCCAGACCTACCCTGTCACAATTGTTCAAGATTTTGTTTCAATCAAGTAATTTCTTACTCTTCTATACTGCAGCGGATAAAAGCCTAGACTGTATAAACGTTTTCTCAGAAAGCAAATTGCCCATTCCAGGTATTAATGTAGTTAACTGTCTCTGAACTGCTTCCAATGCGTTTACATCCATCCTTAAATAAGGTAACCAACACTGTGAACAGTACTCCAGAAGCTGTCTCAATAGTGCCCTGTACAATGGAAACATAACCTATGTATTCAATTTCCCTCATGGTAAGTGACAGTGTCTATTAGCTTTCTTAATTACTTGCTGTACCCATATATTATTAATCTTTTGTGAGACAACCAGGTCTGTCTGCATCTCAGAGATCTGCAATCTCTCACCATTTAGATAATATGCTTTTTAAAACATTTTCCTATCAAAACAGACAATCAGGAGGAGGACAGGAACTAAACTAAGTCATGTTCCTAAGTTATCCACAAAATTCTTACCTGTTGAGCTGTCCTGCTCTTTGGTTTTTCCTTCTTCTCTTTCCCCTCTTTACTTTTAGTCCCACTGGCTGTTTTGCTTTGCTGTGTAGTTTGATCTGGGGCAGGCAAATAAGTCTGTTTCTCTCCATCCCAATACATGTACTGCTGAGTCTGTGGATTGTAATAGTACTGGAACAAAAATATTTTAAAAGTGCATTACTACCCAAAGATATACAAGTGCCTCAGTGTAATATTTAACATTTAACTTCATTATATTTTGTTTACCAACCTATTTAAATCCAATTATGAAACCAAGGTCTGAGGCTCAAGTGTATAGACAATAACTGTGAAATGAATACTTAACAAATAAGGAAGGGGTAATGTCACTTAACATGGCTTTTACATAAAGGAGGGAGGAGTTTACACTCACTGAATGACTCCAGTGATCACATAATTCTTAGTTTATTTCTCTCATCTCAACCTCAAGTCTCAGCATTGTTCCAATGTACCAGACAGGTGTACAGATTTTTTTTGTGTGACAATGCAAAGACCTTGGTCTATAACATTTTAAACAGAAGATATCCCCTTTGACCACCACACAATAAAACATCATTGCGAGAAAGCAAAAAAGACAACTACTTTGGAGATCTGAGAAACAGTGCTACAATGTATCCCTGGACTAGCAGACCTTGAATTCACTCTGCCTCCTGTAAGATTTATTTCTATTATGTGAACATCTCAGTTAGAATTGGTGCATAACACTTGCAAGCTATAGAGTCCCAGATATTAGACATGTTTCTGTGCTATGTGATTATCAAAAGAAAGATTTTTCTACTAAATCCATATACTTTGTTATCTGTGCCTGGATGCAGCAAAACATGAATGGTATTCAAGCCCTAACTCTAAGCCAGGAGACCTAGGTTCAAGTCCCACCTGCTACAGAGTGTGTAATAACATCTAGTCAGGTTGATCACAAAATATCTATAAATACTGTGGCTACAAAAGTAAAACAGTGGCTTTTAATTCAGCAGTGAAGAATCAACCTTCTGTTTTCCCTATCCACCATTCGGAAGGCAGGATTCAGAAGCGTGATGAAATATTCTAATTGCTTGGGTGAATACAACTCAAACCACACAAAGAGTTACATGATCCATGACAAAGTAGCCAACTAACTGGCATCCACCAATGACAAACATTCATTTTTTCCATCAATGTTACAAAGTAGCAGCAGCGGATATCATCTAAGAGACACTGCTTACCGAGCCACCTTCAATAACACCTTCTAGATCGATGACCTCGACCATCTAGGACAAGGTCAGAAGATGAACAGGAACTTCACCGCCTGCAAGCTACTCTCCAAACTACACACTGTCTTGACTTATACCTATATTATCGTTTCTTTATTGACTTGGAAGTCCCTTCCCTAACATCATTATGGTTGGACATTAAACTACATGGACCGTAGTAATTCAAGGCGGTGGCTCATCACAACTTTCTCAAGGCCAACAAACTGGTACTTTACCAGCAACACTCCAACAAATTTAGGGGAGGCAACAGCCTAGTGATATTATCATTGGACTGTTAATCCAGAGATCCAGATAATGAGCTGGGAACCCGGGTTTGAATCCCACAATTGCAGACGGTGAAATACGAATCTGGAATTAACAGTCTAATGGTAACCATGAATCCATTGTCGATATTGTACAAACTCATCTGGTTCACGCATGTTCTTTAGGGAAGGAAAGTGCCATCTTCACCTGGTCTGGCCTACAAGTGACTCCAGATCCACAGCAGTGTGGTTGACTCTTAAGTGCCCTCTAGGCAATTACGGATGGCCAATAAATGCGGGCCTAACCAGCGACACCCTCATCCCATGAATGAATGAAAAATTCAGAAAAGGATATCACAGTACAAAATGAAGTCAAAAATCTTTTACTTTAAAATTCAGCTATTGAACCTATTATTTCAACATTTAGAAAATCAAATTCCATATTAAATTCCAGCACAATTCATTGACTCAAGACTTGTTTTCCTTTTACAAACTACCTTATGTTCTGCTTAAAATAATGACATTGACATTAACTACATCTATGACATTACCAGATATTAACTGGCTTAAAAAAGAAAACAGCTTTTCAAGATAACCAGTGGGTCATTTAACTTGAAGGCTTCAGCAGGAAAGCGCATCTTGGGATCAAAGAGAAAAAAATGCTCATAAGGTGAAGTAGCAGACATTACAATGTGTTATACCAAAAGTTTAAATTGAGAATGAGGAAAATGTCCAGACATGAGTATTTTAGATGTTTAAGTATCGCTGACTAAGCACTATGTTAACCAAGTCTTATTTCATTGTTGCTTTTGAGGTGAAAACAGACAACAGGTTAAAGAAATCCTGAAATTCTTAGACCACAAAGAATCAAAAGGTTATGGTCAACTTAGCGAAACAAGCAAATCATTAGAGGAAAAACAAAGATTTTTAAACATTTCAACAATCAGAATGACACATTCAGTAATTTAGTCTAAACATTAAGCAATCAATGAGCTCAATCAAATGATGCCGTCAGCTGTACACATCCAAGTCTTAGACATTGAAATCTGTATTTTGCCAAAGCATCAGAACAGTTCTTGCATTTTTTTTTTCTTTTCACTGCTTTAAGACACGTTTATACCTGGGAGTTTGGGTCATAGTAGAATCCAGTCTGCGCATCATAGTAAAATCCAGATGATTCATCATATTGATAAGTGGACACATCTGGCACAGCTGGAACAGATAAACAAAGCGACTCAGTTGAAAAATAATTTATTAAACACCAAAGTACTTACTAAAGGGCAAGCTGGGTAAAGTACTCACGGTAGCTTGAATCCTTAGACTCTGTGGTACCATCAGATGGAGTGGTATCTGTAGATTGAGTCTGTTTTAAAGTATTAAAAAATTACAGTCATTACAGATAACAGTGTCCACAATATGAATAATTAGTATAACAACCAAATTCCCCTAATCTCATCCATTCATTTAGGCGTAAGCAAGGAGCAAGCAGGGAACATTAGTTTGGGGTAGGGGAATAGGAGACCACATACATTAGAAACAGGTTTATTATCTGGATAGTCCGAATGAGATCAGTAAATCACTTTTGGGGCTAAGTGAACCGAAGAATGTTTTTGTACTGACTGATGTGCAGTCACTTCAAAAAGCCATGACACAGGAGGAGACAAAACATTTCCAACATACCTCAGATTGATTCTGCGACTGATAGGACTGACCATCTTGGGAAACTGTTGCCGATTTAGCAACCATAGGAGGAGCTGTTAAAATTAAAAAAGTGAACTTAGAAATATATTGAGGAAAAAAGTGGTAAGTATTGTCCAAATGTGTTAAGGTAAGAGATACTGCAGTCAATACTGTACACAATCCAATATATTTTAGTAGTACAATTATATGATGCAGGTCTGTCCCCTAACCATTCCACAATAAACATCAAATTCATTCTAATGGAGGCAAAGTTCACCCGTTTGTTCAGTCAGCAGCAAACAAGTTTGCAACTTAGGATTACAGAAGCATCTGTCTGTAAACAATCAGATTTTATGTTAGTGAGAAACAACATTCCACTGCGTGAGAGGAAGTCAGAGTGAGTGTGTGTGCACGTGTTTGTGCTGGAGAAGAGACAGAAAGTAGTAATGTAATTAACAAATGGCAAGAATGAAGATAACCTAAATGTATACACAGAAGATGGGAGAAAAAAATGTGGATCAAAGAATGAAGTACAACACTGAGTTAAAGAGGTGAAGAATTGTAAATGTGAAACAAAGTGCTCCAAAGGCCAAACAGCAACATTTATTTCACTGTGGCAATTTTAGCAGGTGGGGCAGCACACTGGACTACCAATATCCTGTAAACGAAATGGTAAGCCTCAAAATTTGTACCAATACCAAAACAATCCATTGCCCAGTTCCAGCAGAAAAACATTAAGTGGAGACCAGGCAATATCTCACAGAAACCAAGTGATGTGGAGAGCTACAGTTGCTCCATATGGCTCTGATATAAAAGGTTCCTTGACTGCAGACTTGCAGCGAACACAGGTAAGTAAAAAGCTAAAGAAATATTTCACGCATTGGGAAGACAGAAGACCCACCTGAGATTACTGCGGGTGCTTGATAGACTGCCAATCCCTGTTGGGTAGAATCTGCAGAGCCACTTTGCTGTCCATAATCTTGTGAATATGCCATCTAAAGCAATACAAAAATAAAAGTTATACTTTTGCTTTGACTGGATATTACTGATCTCACCTAGGTTTATTTTCACTATACTGGTGCAAGTTACTCAGTTGCTTGTTTTCACCGTGATACTCGTTACCCAGTAACAGCACGTACACACAGGGAAAAAGAAAATCGTGGCACCCAAAATTTCTGTGCATTGTGTGTGAAGCATTTTGAAAACAAGGTGTGTACGTGTATAAATACAGCAGTTTTGCATGGAACCTGAACAATCAAAATAGCGATATATTTTACTTTCAAAGTGCCACACTTCAATTTGTTTGAACATTGATAATATGCCACTATTTAAGCCACCCATAAATTTTACAATAAACTAGAATTAGACACTTCATGTTCTCTTTTCCTTCAACATACTTGATCGTATTGACTGTAGCCATCCTGTCCAGGTTGAAAGTAGCTGTAGTCAATGCTGCCATCTTCTGATCCTTGCCCCACCTGCAATTAAAAATCTTTGGGTGAAAAAAAACTCAAATTACACTCCCAACCACTAAGATGAGAAATGATCACCAGGTATCAATAATCTGGCAGTATCCATTGTTGATCATCAGGCCTAGAGAATGATGCAGCCAAGAGAACACAAGGACACTGTGTGCTTGGATAACCCTCATTCTGCCTACAACTCAGGAGAAAAATTAAAAAAAAAACTGGATAAAATCCAGTCAGCTTTACATCAGTCCACATGACAAACAGAGGAACATTTTACTACATAGTGCAATATGTAAATATTTTAATCAAACCAAGGAGGTAGATTTAAATGTGGTTATGTAGATCAAAGCTGCTGTTGGCACATTATTGAGCAAAACGGGTAGAGTGCACACTACAGAGGAAAACCACAAAAATCATTACCTGACTTGACGACCACTGGGCTGCAGCAATAGCTGTGATCGCAACAGTTGACGAACTGATCTTATTACCATCAGAAAGGATATGGTCCCTAAGATAAACAGTTAATTGTGGATTGATGAGGGCTTCAGAATCAGTACAGAATCAATTAATTTATATTTAACTTCGAAAGATGGAAAAGCCCACACAAGATCACCAGTGTTAATTTTCAGTCCTTTTGACTGCTGCAGAAATCAAAAGAATGGGACATCATCACCACCAAAGAAGAAATAACATTATTAGCTTTATGTGTAAAGTCAATGCCTGGCGAGAGCAGTATGTGGCATTACTAAACTAGAATGTGACATTTACCAGCCAGTGGAGATTTCCACTGTTGCCACTCTACTTTGGGCTGGTCCCAACCAGAGTTGATCCATTTTAAACTTTGTACTTGTTATGTAGTATACATGGGAAAGATCACTATTCAATTATGGATTATAAATCATTTTGGGAAAAGGTAAAACAAAAACAGAGATCTCGTCTAACTTTCATGCAATAAGTCAGTTCACAGTTGCATGATTGGAAAGGTTTCAAGAAGTCTCAACACAGTGTATGAAGTGAAAAATGACGCTTAGATTATGCTTTAAAACCCACCAGATACACTGATCATAGTCTAGGCAAACTTAAAACTTGTCCACACTGGAAGACAACCTACTTCTTTAAAGATTTGGCAAAATCTACATTAATGGTCCGACCATCAATGTTTAACGGAGGCTGCAGAGCAAGCAGTATCTGAATGAGATGAGAAGCTTCCTGTAAAAGAGAAAAGATGCACTTTTAAATACTGCATACTATAGCAGCTTTGTAAAATACTGAGGCTCATCACTGGCAAGTGTACAGATTCTGAAATATAACTTACAAAATATTTTAGAGTACTGTGTACAGTTCTGGTTGCCCTGCTTTAGAAAGGCTATTATTAAATTGGAGAGGGTTCAGAAGAGATTTATAAAGATGTTGCTGGGACTGGAATGTTTGAGTGAAAAGGAGAGACTAGATACGCTGGGACTTTATCACAAGAGCGCAGGAGGTCGAGGATGACCTTAAAGGTTTATCAGGTCATGAAGGGCACAGATAAGGTGAATAGCAATGGTCTTTTCCCTACAGTAGGAGAGTTCAAACTTAGAGGGCATATTTTTAAGGTGCCAGGAGAAAGATCAAGGAGAAACCCAAGGGGCAACTGTTTCACACAGAGAGTGGTTCATATGTGGAATAAACTACCAGAGGATGTGGTAGTTGCGGAGTTATAACATTTAAAACACATTTGGACAGATATAGGAACAGGAAAGGTTTACAGGGATGTGGACCAAACACAGGCAAGTAGGATTAGTTTAGTTTAGGAAGCTTGGTCAGCATGGATGAGTTGGATCAAAGGGTCTGTTTCTGTGCTGTATAACTCTGAGTGAATGACACACAACCTAAATTAATTGTGGCGATTCTCATACAGTACGCCCGTGCAGCAGAGCAGAGCATGTTAACTCACACAACAACCTTCCAATTCACTCGTAGAAAACAATGGTTATGACCAATGCTAAGGCAAGTCCTCAAAGACTAGGTAGAAAATAAATTTAAAATAAAATTGCAGCACTGTATCAGGCTATTGCAAAAAATTCTGATCGAGACTTAAACTTCTAAAGAAACTATTATATAAAGCTTACTACATTCACAACACGCATGGTATGTGCAAAATTGCCTCCAAATCCTTTCAGAAGCCATGCACTTCAAAACTTCCCCAACCATTACTTAGTGTGATTTCTTGCTGCAAGCAACACCATATTTATTAACCAAAGTCATAAATAATCATGATTGTCTCAGCTCTTATTAGCTCACACTCAACTTATCCCAAGTATTATAAATTAAAACATGACACCAACTGAAGTATGAAGCTAGATGATTGATCGCATAATTACATTATAAAACACAAAACTGAAGAAACATTCAGATCAGCCATGATCTCACTGAATGATGGAGCAGATTTGAGGGGCCAAATGGCCTACAGCTGCTCCTACGTCTTATGGTCAAAGAGATAATATTTGTGGCAATATCTCAGTCAAAGTTATTCCATGGATCCATTATGCTATTAATCATCATATAAAAAGGGAAAACAAAACTTACAAAAGATGAATCCAGCTGAACAAAGGCAAATCCTCTGTTTAATTGTGTCTGCTTGTCCTTGATCAACCTGACATTTGCAGGAGACAGCACAGCATATGGAGCCAATGCACTCAGGATAGATTCCATTGGAGTGTGTGGACCTATGTTTCTTAAAATAATGGCTGTTGATAATTAAATGATTTAAATTAGAATATAATTGAACTTTAAATACAAAATCAATTAACATGGTTTCAGTATTGTTCCACACCTATAAATGAAGTCTAAAATTTGTTTTTTTTTTAAAAGCAGTATTGGAAAATAAATAAACTAGCATATGGCTCTAAACATTATAAAAACATGTGGCAGTTAGTTAACAATACATCCAGAGGCCAAAGCTTCCCATTACTTGACATTGAGACTCAACAGGGCTCATGGAGAAACAAAAATGTTAACTCATGCAAAAACGGAAGGATATTTTGCTTGAGGATGGAGAAGTTACAAGGTTAATACAGAGCAAGCAGTTCCATTGCACCCAACACCCAACTGGGATTTTCAAAACACAGAAGCACACCAGGTGCTAAAGTAGAATTCATTACATCCTATCATAACATACCTCAGCATGGACAAACAAAAGTAAACGACAGATACAGTTAAAGCTCACACTTTGAAAAGGAAGCACTCAAATGTACACAGTTTGTATATTATTTTCTTCCAATTTGTTCTGAATCATGAATTACGTTTAATTTCCCGAACAGCTGCCACAGTTTACAAAAAAAATCACAATTTTGAAACGTTCCTTGTGCATAGCGCAACATTTCTATCTTGGTTTCAACAACAGGAATCTACATTATCAAAATATACAACAATTTTGTTTTGGAGTTGGTCTTGGGAGAGGAGCTTCATCCACAGATCTAATTGACTTCCATGTTTTTGACGAGGGTCGAGTTTAATTTTCGTAATAGAAATTGAGAATCTGAAATGTTAACTAATTTGTCAGCAGTCCTGCTGTGAATAAACCAAGTATTATACAGAATATTGTAAATCTGAAGACTAGAGTCTAAAGCCAAATACAATGCAATGTGCAAACTCAAAAACGATATGGGAAGATTTAAAAAAATTTGTTCATGGATGTTGGCCTTGCTAGACTAGACCACAATTTGTTGCCCATCTCGAACTGATCAGAGGGCCGTTAAAGCCAACAACATTGCTGTGGGTCTGGATGGTAGATTTCCTTCTGTAAAGGACATTAGTGAACAAGAGGGGTTTACGTGATAATCGACAATGGTTACATGGTCACCATGAGGCTATCTTCGTTTTCACGATTTTGTCTTAGATTCAAAATTTCACCATGGTGGGATTTGAACGCACGTCCCCAGAACATTAGCCTGGGGCTCTAAGTTACTTGCCCAGTTAAAATCCTTTTCCAAATCAGGGTTGGATCAGACACTAGTCAGATCAAGGAGACGCATTTGATACTGCACAGCAAAAAAAAATTCAAAAAACCCAAAACCTACTAACACAAAGGAACTGGTGTTTATTTTTCTCGGAACTCAGACAAACTTACTGTCATTTGCATAGTCAGACATAAATGGTTCACTCTGCACACGAACTTGCTCCTCTTCAGTTTCTGGAAGAAATTGAGAAATTCAACTCAGTACAGAAATTAGGGAAAAAAAAACAGAAGAAGAATGCAAGGTCCAACTGAAAATGTTAAATCATTTTGGGGTGAAGCACTCATCAGATTTGCTTCACAGCTATAAAGAATGCAAAAGGGACAACCCCACCCTCCGTCGTCACACTGATTTCCTCACTGAGAGTTTCTCTACAGCCGAGATGGAAAGTGTAACAAAAAAATCACATGCCTTCACAACACAGTGGTAGGATGATATAGCAAGCTTCTGTGTTATACTATCTCCTATACATCAGTGTAGAAGTTATTCTACATTACTTACCAGGCTTCTGAGCATCACATTTAAAGCATCTCTCTCGCCGTTTGAAGTTAGTCACCCCACACTACAGAAAAAAAGCAGGAAGGTTTAAAGCTCTGGAAAATACAGCATAAACAAACAAAAGTGCTACATTTCCAATACCAATAATCCACAATCTCAGAAACACAAGATTCACCAATACTTAATGTCAAGTGTGATGCAGTTTCAGTCAACTTTTCAATGAGTCACAGACAACAGCATTCATCTTCCGCCAATCCTAGAATAGCTGATCTCTTGCAACTCTCCTGATTAACAGTCTAGTCCTCCAAGAAACAGAGTAAACAGCAGCTCATTGCCACGGGGAAAATCATGAGATGGCATAAACAAGTAGCTGAGGTAAGGCAAAAAGTCCCACTAAATGTTGATTCTTTGTAAAATGAGTCACTTTACATCTCAACTGAACCATTTGGCGTGGCACATCACAAATTCAAGGAAGCAAATCTTATACAAGTCCCCATCAGCTGCTCATAAATGACAAAAAGCTTGGGATAAATCAGAAAGAGTAGATCAATCGACACTTCCCAAACTGTTCAACTGTTCCATGAAATCATTGTCAATCTGTGCCAACTCCATTTTCGTGCCCTAGGTTCATATCCTTAGATAGTGACCAACCAAACATCTCATACTTTAAAACTTGCTGTCACAGCAAAAGCCTATGCACAGAATTTCAAATTTTAACTACCTTTTGTGCAAAAAAAGTGCTCCCAGATTTCCTTTCTTGTTGTGCTAGATCCCGTTTTTCTTGGGTTTCCCCAAACAGAAGTTTCTTCATTGGACCCGTTTAACATCTTAAAATTCAAACCTTAGTATAATAAACCAATGCCTGTCACTCAACCCCACAAATATATCAGGGACCACACAGAGCACATACCACCTGAAGAATAAACGGACAGGAATGAGGGAACGTATGCAAAGCATCTCCTCCAATGACACTAAAGGTTGCTCAAGACATGAGCAACATATGAAATAAGATTGTCCAGATATTCGAACATCTTTTCCCCAATTGTTCAGAGACTTTCAAAGTTCTCTCCCAAGGGAAGAATAATCGAATCAGGATGTAAAAACTGTATCCATTAATCTGCAGCAAGAGGCATTACAACTGAAAACAGAGCATCTTCTCAATTTTAAATGAAAAATTTGCCCCCAAAATTCAAATCCAACTGCGCAAAATAGAATATCGAAACCTTAACAAAAGACAGAAAAAAGGCAAGAGATTGGCTATAGTGTAGTTTCTATTTTTACTACCTTGTTGCAACTCCAGTCTTCAAAAGGCTTTGTGCTGTAGTGCATCGAAACGGACTTTCCAAGAATGGTAAGGGAACGCTGCTGAAAACAAAGGGTTAAGTCAGACCCCACATAATGGAGCAAACATTTGTCAAAACAGTTCACATCGGCTCCAAACAAGGAATGAAAACTACTCTCAAATATATCTTTAAAAGGCCTCCTGGATGCAGACGATCTAGTCACCTAGGTAATGAAGTCACGATTTAACTGCAAAGATGAAAGTGGGTCTCAACTCTTGGAAGATGAAGGGTACACAATATTTCTTCTACCAAGATGCAAAATCTAAGCAAATCGGGTTTAACTGGCAAACAGTTGATTCTTCTTTGCTATATGAAACATTACTTGGCGTCTCTTGCTTGCCTCTATATATAGTCTTCCCATTTAATCTGCAAGGTGAGCTTTATCCTGAGGTTATACCTCAAAAAATATCACGATGTTGGGGTTAACAATCTCTCAACAGTGGGTATGTCCACGTACTGCAATGTTTTACAGTTTTCCTTCCGAAGGAATAAGTTTTTAATATCCACAGTTTGTCACGAGAAAATCAAGGATGTGAACATTTCCACAAAAACCTTCAGCTTCTCATTACAAAATGTCACTTGACAAAGATACTGTATCTGCAAATAAGTTGCCAATTACAGTGCACCTTTCAAGTCAAGTGATAAGCTATAAAATCTACAGCGCAAATACAAGACAACAGCGCATGCATAAAGCTCCATCTGATTTGCAGCCAACATTCTTCACTACACTCACTCAACTGATGATGAGTAAAGTGACTAACACCCTAACTAATAAAATCCGTTTAAGTTGAGGTTCTCCAAGACACCTTAGACAACCATTAACAACGCAAGTTTGGCATTTGTGCAGCAGACATGGCTCAGTAATATTTGTAACTAACTTTATAAAACGTCAAGTATTTACATGGTACACTAACATCTAGTGATAGTTAATAAGTATCTCCCCTTAAAGTCAACAATTTTAATGAGCAACAGGAATTATGATTTTGGTTCTGACCTTCATCCTGCTGCTTGAGATAGAAATCTGGCAGGAATGTGACTAGAAGTCACATCTGAGAATTAGACCAGCTAAGTCAGCACAGACTGACATTTAATGGACACTGCACTGGAAGCTACACATTGCTCATGCCCTTTAGCAAATGGAAGAGGGAAAGACCCAATATATAAAAAAAAAGGCATGCTATGTCTGCCAAAAACATTTTCTCACATGTAAAAGGACCTCTCCATAATACATTAAATGGAACTAAAACAAGAGCAAACTACTGTGGATGTTGGAGATCTGAAATAAAAATAAACTGCTAGAAAACTCAGCAGGTCTGACGGCATCTCTCAACAGATGCTGCCAGACCAATTGTTTTTCCAGCACATTTTTTGACATTAAATGGTGGAATGCTGAATTTCACAGACATGTACTTGGAAAGGTGCCACATGACACTGACCATTAAAATGAGCACCAATTCACCACTTTTTTTTAAAACAGAAAGCAGTTATCAGGTTCATGGCCACAAAAGCAAATAAAAATACAAACACCCATATAGTAACTTGTGTTTGTTTTCCAAATGTAATTGTGAAGTGTTGATATTTGAGGGAAAGGACAGGATAATATTTGGTCCCTCTGGATCTTTTCTGCAGCGGGAAACACTTGATCCTTCCCCCCCTTCAATAAATCTAGACTTGTGATGAAGCAACCTGGTTGGCTTCCATCCATCTTGTTGCGTCCTGCAAGTGATTAAACTCCACGAAGGCGAAACCACGGCTTTGACCTAGAGACAGCATTCAGATATAGACGGGATTGCGTTAGTCAGCGTGTTTAAAGCAGCCATTCATTCTGTCGCCACGTGTTATGTACAAATGTCTATTTGTGTGGCACGATAGAGGCCTTATTGTCTTTTTTTAAAAAAATCATGGGTGGGAACAGAATTTGAACTCATTTTACACACTCTTTGAAGCATTTGTAACACAGGTATCAGTATCACCTATCATCTTCCAAGTTTACAAATGTGCTGCAATTGTTTATTATTGCAAAACAAAACCCCTGCCAATTCTAGCACCAGCTGTAACCTACCTGGATTAAAATATTTGAACCCTTCCATAAGAGACAGCTTTCAATTCGTTAAGAGTGTCACAGGACCCAAAATGTTAACTTTGCTTTCTCTGCACAGATACTGTCAGACCTGCTGAGCTTTTCCAGCAATTTCTGTTTTAGTTTCCAATACCACATTGCTCCCAATTACACTGCTCCCTGCTTATACCAGTAAGGGCACACAGCACTTTGCATCATTCCATGCTTGAAAGAAGCACTGTTGGGAGATATGCAACAATAGTTAGAGCAGTTGTCCCCCACCATTTATGTGAATTTTTGAATGCAAAGTCGGGGCCTCAGCTGCCCCAGTATCTCTAAATATCAAAGGATCTCCATGAGAAATTAGCTTATGCCTCACCATAAAATTAACATGAATGGAGACAGAATCCTGACAATCAATGTTTAATTTTAGCAATCTGGTAGCTTGCTTTTAGTTAACAGTGAGGAATACGTGCATTTATTCTACATTGAATTTCAAAGTTGGGAGTGATATTAGCATTTTAAGCAATTTTCTTTCAAACTGCCCTAGAAATAAAAATACTGAAAAAAAAAGTACCAAAACCTTAAAGTAACAAGTGACAAGCTATGTTTTAAACAGACTAAAAGCAAGATATTTTATATTGTATTTTTTCGAATATTCCTTCCTTAATGGGATCATACAAGCTCAGTCTGGCCACCAAGATTGATCACATTCCACCTTTGCTATTTATTAAAACACTCAATTCTGTTCCAGCCAAATTATTTCACAATTTTAGGACATAATTAAGGCAAAGTACATTACAATCCCACAATTATTAAAAAGGCTGATCTCTTTCCAAACATATAGCAACATGTAGCACTGAACAATACAACCCTCACCACTCCCTAAAGTAACAACCTCGGCAATATATGCATGTTCAAACTTTCAAATGAATGCAATGATCAAAGAGTCAAGATCATCTTACGAGTCAAATGGCATATTATTAGATTCCCTCACTGTCAAAGTCAAAGGTCAGAGGCTGCTCTGCCTGTGACAGAATTTTTTAAGCAAAGTATTCCACCTTACAATAACTACACACGAGGAAGATTTTTCTTAAAAGAAAAGTTCCAAAATGTGTAAAGGACAGTGGGTGTCAACATTTAAACAGCAAACCACACAATATAGCTTCTGGGAACCTGACTTACGCTGGCTAATGTCATTATGGAATACTTTCAAGTATTCAATGCAGTTACCAAGATGTACTCAGCTAAAGCCTTATAAACATTCAATTAGTCTTGCGTGAACAGTCATAAATTCATGTTAACTACACAAACGTTTTCGCATTACACTAACTGCAATTTCAAATACCAGCTGAAAAAGGGACCAGCAAAAAAAAATTACATTTTTTAATTAATCTAACATGACCATAATTTTACTTATGTGAAAAAGATTTACTGAATTAGTTTGACGAATAACTTCTTAAAACTAAGTTATCAATTTCTTATTCTGGATGAGAATTATCTTTTAATTATTTAAAAATATTATGTTGGTGCAAGTAGCCACCTCAAATGTGAAAATTCTGGAATTCTGTCTAATCCATGATTCCCGCGTAGTAAGATTTAAAATAAGACCATAAGACACAGGAGCAGAATTAGGCTTTTCAGCCCATTGAGTCTGCCTCACCATTTGATCATGGCTTCTCAGTGTAATCCTTGATCCCCTCACTAATCAAGAACCTATTTCTGTCTTAAACACACTCAATGACTTAGCCTCCACAGCCCTCTGTGGCAATGATTTTCACAGTTACCACCCTCTAGCTGAAGAAATTCCTCATCTTGGCTCTAAAGATGGCGTATGAAACAAAGAAAATACAACTCATTTACAGCTATATTTGGTTTCATTTGCATGGTAATAAGTGACAGATGAAAAGTAATCTGTAGACTCACCAATTTTGAGCTGGCTGTTAAATATTATGATCAGACATCAAGTAAGTGACTGCAATAAACAAACTTAAAACCATTTAGTACTACTTCTATTGGTTGAAGCTGCTCCAGTTCTAATTACAGAAGAAACAGAACATTGCAGCCCTCAGTAACCACAGTCCTAAGGAACTGTACCGCTTTACTTTTGAAACAAAAACTCCACACCACATTTAACATTTGCCTACATCTAGGTTCCACGGGAAAAAAAACACATGTACACAGTAAAAACAAATTTCAAAAAGAGGGGTCTTCCTAATAAATCAAGGCAATTGACCATTTATGAAAGGTCACCAACCCATTCTCTACTTTTCTGGGCAAGCATAAAAGATACAACTTGTCACCGTCAGCTTAAATTAGTTTCTCTCAGAAGAAACTAAAAACTCAACATAAAATGTTTCCCAAGTTAATATTCCCAGTTTGCCAACATATTGCATCCGAGTTATATCATTACTATGGGATAAGAGAATATCACACTCACTATACACTTGAACCAATCAAGACTTACAAGTAAATGGAAAGATTGGCTACAAAAATTCTTGTTAATGTTTAATTTGATTCCAGATCGAGCTCAGGCAGTCAACTGCACAAGGCACTGTTTTATTATAAAATACAATAAGAATACAGCTTAAAACACCCTCAGTGCCTTTTGTAGCTACTATATCTTTCAAACTCTGCAAATAATTTCCCTCCATCTGCTGGGTAATTAATGTTAGAAGACAAATTTATTCTATGAACAGGACTGATGTAATGCACCAGTGGGAGTGTTGGTAAGCCATCTTTTGTTGGCAACTGTCATAACAGTCTCAAATGACCCAACTGTCTCAGTACATACTAAAAATGTTATTTCATCAATGAACAAGTATCTCTATCTCCTGCAGAGCTCATAACTGATGAAGAATTGTAGGATTTTGACTTAGGACTAGTCCTAAGAACTGATGAAGATCACATTTGTGCACCATAATGTTTGCCTATTCCCACCTCCATTACATCAATTAGGTCAACCTATCCTACAGGTCACCTACCAATGAAATCCTCATCCAAGCTCCATTACCTCGAGACTTGACTTTAGCAACACATATCTGGTTGACTCACCCTCTGGAAACATTCAAAACTCTCCAGGCCACTCACCCAACACCCAGAGACTCCCTGGCCTATGTTTGCTCCTGGTCACATCATGAACCAATTTTAAATTTCTCATCCTTGCTTTCAAACTATTCCTTCACCTCACCCTTCATCAGCTCAATATCCTCCAGTCATATAACCTCGATATCTGTGCTCATCTAATTCTGGTCTTGAGCATCCCTGCATTGTAATTGTCCTCTTGTTAGTGAGTGTGCCTTCAACTGTTCTAGGCTCTGGAATTCTTGCCCAAAACTACAACATTTCTCTTTTAACACAGATTACTTTGTAGCACTTCTATGAAGGGCCTAGATATGATTTATTATGTTAAAAGATGCTGTATAAATATTAGTTATTGCTGGAATAAAAACAACACTGATGTTAACTAAAGGAAACAAACAGCCTGCCTGAAAAGCTATTTAGACTCAAGGGATTAATTAATAATGAAGTTTTGTTTATTTTGGAGTTGCTTGCATTCACTCTTTAAATTCATTATGAAAAAGTGTTTTGAAGTAAAACGCTCAGGTCAACAGGTTCAAACTAGCAATACTCAAATTCAAAGATCAATTTTTAACAGATAAAAAGATGTAGAGTTGCATTAAAAGGATTCAAATCATACTACAAATGAAAGAAAGATTAAATCCTCTTGAATATATAAAGATTCACAAGGGGAAAAAAAACTTTGTAAGCATGAGAAGTTACTAGGAGTAATTGATTTGTGGCACACAAATTAAAAACTCTTAAAATTTTCCACAGTTCGTCTCATCCAAATACTGTGATACTATAGATGCTTTTGAGGAAGAGGTCCTGGAAAAAGATATATTCACAGGGCTGCATGTGGTAGCTAGAATAACTAAGCACGATTCACTTTGGAAGACGCTACTTGCAAAATATGGAAGTTATGAACTACTTCTGATCAAGAGTTCCTTGTTGGGCAACCTGCTAACACCGCACAAACCTTTGCAACCTATCCATTGCAGATTAACACAAGTTCACTTACAACTGGTTTATGAGTTATATTTTCCTTTGCCGTGACAAATGACAGTAGCCTTTCCTGAATCAGAAAGAGGAAAACACATTTTTTCCTCAGAAAAGCTGCAAGAGCAGCCAAGATCTCACCTGATACTTTACACTTCATCACTCGCACATCCTTAGGTTGAAATTCATCACTGTCCCGAAATATTTCAAGAATCTGAAAGGAAAATTAGAAATCCATTGCTTTATTTTTCCAGAGATTTTAAAGTCATGAAATCAAAAGTATTTGTTTACAATTACATTAGCTATTCTATAAGTAGCTTTGGCATACAAATACATAAATATTTGACATTCAATTGCTGCACCATAATCAGGGTTGCATATGAGGACACTAACATAGTGTCAATACATCACTGGACATCAGGAGACAGGATAAACTACAGTGGGCTTCTGGAGGCAAGGATCTGATCAGGAGAAATTTCTTCACATTGAGAATGGTGAGCTTGTGGGATTCTCTGCCACAAAGTTGTTGACACCAAACACAATATTTTCAAGAAGGAGTTAAGATATATTTCTTAGCACTAAAAGGATGGAGGAGTACGGGGAGAAAGCACGAACAGAGTATTGAGTTGGATGATCAGCCATGACCATACTGAATGGCAGACTCGAAGAGCCAAATGGTCTACCGTGATCCTATTTTCTACGTTTTCTATTTAAATGATCTGATGACACTTGCTTTTGAGCTTTCCTTGCAACTTGCACTGGAATATTGCTGCTCAGCTCAAAGTTATCATTAACTTTGAGAGAAAATAGATGCTTTGGACTGTAACACCAAGTTGTAATGTTTCCCCTAACTGCCAAGTGTTTGAACCTAGCCTGCCCTCCTAGCACGTAAACCCATTGCATGAAACACAGCAAACTCAAAGACCCCAAGAACAATTGCTCTGAATGGATTTGCCTCACTAATGAACCAGGCACACTTGACATTTAAACATTTCACTTCCCACAGAGAATCTAGTAATAGGTCAAAAAAAAACTGGAAATTTGATGCAATTGCTCAACAAGTTGGAAGTTCTTCTAATTCACAAATAGAAAACACCCTGAACAAAGATATGTTTCAGTAAATCCAAATAAGTATACTATCTGTGCAATTACATTTGTTAAATTGGGAAACATAGTAGGACTGTCGTACCAATGGGAAGAACAAAAGATAGAATGGAACATCACAGATGGCGAGTGACTCGGGGGTATCATCTATTCAGAAAGAGAAGCTGGACCTTTCTTGGTTCCTTCAAATTTAACAGGCAGCAGTTTGTTAAAGCAACAAATAACATCTTGGGACAATGACTTTTATTTGGCAAGAAAAGCTGTGTGTCTTTTTAGGAATCTACGGGGCTGAACTTCACTGAACCATCCCAATGTCCTGTCACAATTTACATCATAGCAAGAATGTATTTTGCAACAGAGGTGATATTTTGCTATGCTAGCTTCCCATGCAGCATTGCAACAGGGAAATGCTTGTTGCCATGTATTCAAGTAAAGCAAAAATGCAAAATTAAAAGTTTGTCAATGCCAGTTCACTTAGAAATCCCATAGTTTCCGAAATAGACTGCTTGTTGGATGATCATTTCACAGCAGACATTTAGCTACCAGACATCCACCTTCAAGCAAAGTTGCACCTTTTGGTTCTCCCAGCCCCTCTGAAAATGAGATTGCTTTATCATGTTTTCTCAAATACAACATATAATAGATACTTCAATGCTCAAATAAATTAAAAAATGCATTCTGAACCCCTCCTTTCATTGTCCTAGAATCCCAATATACACAAATTTTACAAAAATGTCAATAAATATATACGTACATCCTCCCTGGTTGTTGACGGCAGAAGACCTCTTAACATAATTGTTTTGTTCTCCCTCTCTTCAGTTCCATCATTTCTGTAATCATGGTCCTTGTAGTCACCATCA